AAACCGGCTGATGATTTGGCTGTGTCAGACACATTTTTTTGAATCCACACACTGAAGCCTGGTCACCTGTCTGATGTCCTTTACTCCTGACCCTTGAGATGTCCCAGTTAATAACACAAATGTGTGACATTTTCATTTGCATTCTGCTCTAATCAGTAAATTATGTGGAGCCTATTGCACTTTGTATAATGAGACAAATTAGGGCACCAATTAGGTTGAGTAATGTAAAATAACATGGTAAAACACAGTGGGTGCTTGGTGTGAGGGCTGGCATTGATAAAACGCGGTTCAAAATCCAGACAGAGAGAACATCCCACCTTTAACAGCTTATTCCTGTACTGATACTGCACACACACAACATGATGCTCAAGATAACATGTTAGAAATGTGATGGTTCATTGCGTTCCAGTGTAAATGAATCACCGACAATAGGAAGGGCTGTAATGGTCCACCACTTGAGGTCAGTGTCAACACATGTTTAGCTGGATGAAGCAAGTGAACTGGTTATATTTATATTATATTGAACCTTTATAGTCATGTATCAATCTGTGGTGTTGACACTGTGCCAAGAAACTGTTCTGGGACTGTGAACCCAGAAGTTGGTGCTACAGACACTAGCTAGTGAGATGCAAAATGAAACAAGTTACAAATTGGCCAAATGTTGGGTTACATGAAGGGATTTTTTTTTTATACATTTGTCTCCCCACATGAAGCTAAGTCAAAGCAGTTTTAATACCTCATAATAGTTTTTTCACTCGCCTTACTGTGGCATTATTTAGTGGTGAATGTGTACTGTATGTTGTGCATGATATTTGTTATATATATTCACTTTATAAGATGTGCTGTTTTATTTTAATTATAGGGTACCTTTTTACATTTGGCCTGAGATGACAGATGAAACCTAGTCATATAGACTAACTCTGCCTCATGCACAGTTCTTTTTCTGTTGACCACTGAGCATCCCTAATAAATTATTATATATAAAATAAAGCAATATAATATAAAACTATTATTGGCGAAATTTAGAACTGTAAAGATTGATCGTATTATTTACCATATTCCCACTGATAATTTATCATACAGTACCTAATACCTACAGAACTCAAACATTAATATTTTGTATCCAGAGATAAGTAAGTGACTTTAGACACAAAATCAGGATCTCATTTCTTGATATGCCTTTGTTTTTTTTTTCCTAAGCTCACACACTCCTTAATTTTTAAAGAGCAATTGAGTTGTCATTGGCAGAAAAGCAGTTTTATGTTGTGAGGTTATTTATTCTGATCAATGACAGAGGTCTCAACATCATTCAGTGCTTCTTCTACAGTGAGTTGTCGTCCTTATTACTGGGAGTGTGTCTCTGCAGAGTCCCAATCACTCTAGTGTTTATAGAAGAATTCCTGCCTTCGTGCACCTATTGAATGAAATCTTTATGGCCTCTTTGGAACTCAGTTTGTAAACAAATGCTGCAGTAACAAAGGACACGAGGGAGAAAATGGTGCACAAGAGTGAAGGAGCCACATATCTGAATCTTCTGCTGCATTTTTATCTCCACAAACATGGTCACATATGCACCTTGATGGGTAAGTGTGTGAGGTGTTCAATGTCTGTCCAGAATGACTACTGAGAAGAATAAAACATTATTAATATTAGCATACACATACAGTTCACGGGACTAAAAAGGTGCATTAACCTGTGCACGTGCATTCGAGACACTGGATTTTCACATTCTGGATGCATGCTTCTGTGTAGACATGCATGTCTGTGTGTGACTGTGTAAGAGTCTAAGAAACAGCATGAAATGAGTTAAGAAGATG